CACGTTGCCTTTCATAAATATCTTCCATTACTCCCACATGTGCTTTCAAAATTAGACCTACTTAGATTTTTTTAGGTATTTCTGGCAAAGTTCATCCTACTGATGCCAATGAAAGCTAGTAAAAAACGAAGCTCTATATTCCCTGTATTGCTTGCAAAATATCTACTGAAAATTCTAACCTGACCGGACTTCTTTTCTGCAGCTCAGATACAGCACAGAATATTATACTGTGTTTTGGTCTTCCTTGTCTATAAAAATGATGGTAGCATTTCTGCTTAAATAAATATGTTTTGTGATAGGCAGGATTATTACCAGCTAAATGCATGACATAATGTATTTCTTCAATTTCACTTGAGCATCCTCTTCTTTTACATTGTGAATTTTCACTGTGTCCTGCCTGAAGCAATTTTACATCTTAAATCTCTCCTAAAGGTTGATTCTCATCTATGTTCAATGAAACTCTCTTATAAACCAAACAATTATCTGATAACAATTTGCATGTGCAGCTAAGATAAAAAAAAAAAAGCTCATGTATTCAAAAAGTAACAGGACAAGGGGGAATGGCTTCAGACTGGAAGAAGGCAGATTTAGATTAGATGTTAGGAAGAAATTTTTCACTCTGAGGGTGGTGAGACACTGGCACAGGCTGCCCAGAGATGTTGTGTCTGCCCCATCCCTGGAGGTGTTCAAGGCCAGGCTGGACGTGGCCTTGGGCAACCTGGTCTAGTGGGAGGTGTCCCTGCCCATGGCAGGGGGGTTGGAACTAGATGATCTTAAAGGTGCCTTCCAACCTAAACCATTCTATGATTTTATGAAATGTGTGACACCCCAAAAATCCCCAGGCAGGAGAAAAAGTAGCTCATTATTCCATTTAGCTGTAGGGAACTTTTTATCTCATATTGATAACCTTTAGTGTGATAGAGTAGATGTCAGTGTATTTTGTTTATTATTTTAAGATTAAAAACCTTACTGTTTTTCTGTGTAATGCAGATAAGATCTTAACGGTTTATGTTCAGATGGTTTAATTGGCTGAATTGCTGGGCAGAACGAGCAGCAAGAGCAGCCTGCAGTTTGCCTGACCCTTTTCTATCAGATTGAAGTATTACTATGTACTGTACTATATTAAGCTTCATCTGGAAAAAAGCACAATCTGTTCTTTTTAAGCTTCTTAATAGTTTCTAGTACTGATTCATTGAAAGTGGAACTAACAGACTGTTATAGTTAGACTGTAGGTGGGGACACATATGCTTGAGTTTTGAACAAAATTCCAACTCTGAAGAGAGGATAAGTCTTTGTCATGATGATGTAATTGATTTTTTTTAAAAACATGCAGAGACATATGGGAGTAGCTTTTGAACTGGGCTTAGGGCCAGACATTCAGGTAGGCAAAATGCAGGATTCAGGCTGGCATTTTAAATGAACCCAGCTGCCAGTTGTTGCCATGAGTATAGGACATATTTACAAAAGCCATCAACAGCTAGCAGCTCTGATTATGCCACTGACAGACAAACTTTCAAGAGGAGATGAACATCCAGTAAAAAACTGTGATACCTCCTCCACCAGAACCAGTCACAATATAGAGGTGCTGGCTTCCAAACACTGAAATGGACATGGAGTCTGGTAGGGGAGGAGGACCTCAGTATAAATTGACCATGCTTCATCTCCAGCTTGTGTTGTTTGCTGAGACT